AGAGGCATTGAGATCCAAGGCTGTGAGGATGACAGAAACGTAATGCTGATGGCTAGCTCTGGCACTACCGTGAGAGAGAACCTGCCCGTAAACGAAGCTGACAAGAGTTAAGCAGAGCCAAAAGATGGAAAGAGTGGAAGGTAATGGCCTGATGATGTCTTCTGAACCCCTGGATACAGCTATGCCTGAAGGTCACACCAGCATGGACATCTTAGTCATGGAAGTCAGACAACTAATTTAAGTTGGACTTCTGTTACTTACAAACAAAGTAATTCTAACTAATAAGCCTGGTCTAAATGAAAATAAAGCTCAAAAGGAAATTTCCATTCCTGGGGAATCCTTGCGGAATTCTAGGCTCCTCCCTGACAACGATTCTTACTGAATTAAAATTTTTTCATCCTGTGACATTTCTGTAAAAAAATCTAGGCTTAACATTATTGTCCTACCACCCTCTGGCCCTGACGGTTCATCTTACAGCACTGCCACCAACCAGGCACCACCTCTTGCACTAAATATTAAAGTGACCAACCAGAAGAAGAGTCTCAGTAGTAGACAACAGTAGCCCAGGTGACAGTTTGCTACCACCAAACACACACATGGAGTCCACTATTGTGCCTTGTCCCACGAGCTTCTCAAATGGCCCTGGTTCTCCCGAAAGGTACTGAACACTCCAGGGTCATGAATGTCCTAGAACCATGGGGCTTAGAATGGAAGGAGAGACACATCTGGGGCAAGGAAAATGGGCCTCACAGGTCACAGTGGCCAGGGTCAGTGCAAATTCTGTGTATAAAAAGCCACTCCACAGGCTGGGTCGGGGCGTGGAATGATTTGGGAGTAGGGAGAAAGAATAGTGACAGAGTACTTCTAGGAAGTTGTTTATTTCCCTTTAGAACGGGGATGGTAAGTAGATTTCAACTCATGCGCCAAATCTAGTCCACAGCCAAATGCCCAGGCTCAGCATCACGAGCCACGACAATCTGGGAAGTCTACTGGCGGGGTGGGGCTGGGAGATGAATATATGTGTTGTTCCAGCTGAAACCATTACGTTTTATCCATGGATTAAACAAGGCCAACAGAGAAACGCAACGCTGGACTGGTAGGGCTTTTCTTGGACTGCACTCAGAGTTACATCATGCGCCGGGGGGAGTCCTCATCATTCGTTACTATAGGGACGTCGATCTGTACCTTACGTGGTGTTCTGTTTGTGAGCACCCTGAAGAAATTACTCTACATCTTGAATCATGATGAACCTTGTTTCTTTTGAGTCACTAGTGGTTTTACATTCCAGCCACCATGATACTGACCATTCAGAAGCTCAGAGACAGGAGTGTGGGGCCTGCTGGCAAATATAAGGGCTTCCCCCAAGCACTGGGGGCTGGACTTTACCAGGGCACCTCACTTTTCCTTCCCCACAAATTTCCTTCCTTCCTTATTTTTCTGAATCTCATTCTATTATACATGTGTTTAAAAGCCACCTCAAAAATCTTTGAAAGAAGACAGGCATATATACTAGGTCAACAGCAGTAAATTTTAAAAGGTAAAGCAAATCAGATGGTGAATGGAGAACCATTTTACAAACACGGCCTGTTATGGGGAAGCTCCAAGGCAGTGGCCTTGGGTCAGGAACAGCCCTGGGCCAAATCATCAAGTCAGCAAATATCTCAATCCTCCCCCTCCCCTTCCTGCCCTCCGAGTATTCCCCCCCCCACTCTGTCCTTCCTTGGGGATTGCTCTCCTGTCCCCAGCTCCTCCCAGCAAATCAAAGTAGATCCCACTTCTGTAGGACCTTGTACTCGATACCAGTAAGTTGTCAGTGGTTCATAGCAGCCTAACCAAGTATTTCCTCTCTCAGGGGTGAGTACATTTTAACCAGGTATTTTGAAGAGGGAAAAAAACCAAAGGACTAATTCACTAATGGTAGAAAAGGCTGTAATTATTGTACAGATGCAATTGAAAATCTCAATTACTTCTATGAAAAGGGTGTAATTATTGTACAGATGCAATTGTAAATCTCAATTAATTCTGTGTAAAGCAGCTAGCATATAGTCAGCAGTCAATAAACGGTAGACATTCTTTAAGACTACTGTTGCCCTGGTCGGTGTGGCTCAGTGGTTAGAGCGTCGGCCTGCAGACTCAAGGGTCCCAGGTTCAATTCCAACCAAGGGCACGTACCTTGGTTGCAGGCTCCATCCCTGGCCCTGGTCGGGGCAAGTGTGGGAGGCAACCAGTTGATGTGTCTTTCTCACACTGATGTTTCTGTCTCTCTCTCTCCCTTCCACTCTCTCTGAAAAGCAATGAAAAAAAATATCCTCGGGTAAGAATTAAAAAAAAAAAAAAAAAGACTACTATTGCTGTTATTACTTATCCCCCGCACCCCCACCCCCACTTGAATACTCACTGCCTATTCCCCTATCATTACCATGACCACTACCATGAAGGTAACTGCTCTTCTCTTAACACTGGCTAGCTGTAGATCCACATCAATTAATGAATTTTAATGATATTCCATGGTCTATAAAGCACTTACACGTCCTTTTTTATCTTCTTGGCAATCCTCAAGTTAAATATTATTCCCCTTTTACAGATGAGGAAACTGAAGCTCAGAAAGGTTGAGTTTATGAGGTCCCAGAGACAGGAAGTAGCAGAGCCAGGGCCCAAATCCAGTTCTCATGTAAATTTCTTGTTCTTTCCCTAAAAAGTGGTTACCAACTAATAGCAATCATATCAGAATCATCTGAGCACCCTAAGATTCCCAGGGTCCACCCTAGACCTTATGAATGTGGACAGCCCAATGGAAGGGACTAAGAGCTTGTATTTCAATGGTGCCTCACATGATCCAGGTGAGCGGCCAGTGGGTGACCAAGTGCAGTGTCCATGCTGCTTCCCGGTTGGCTAAGTACCTGCTGTCCTCTCAGCCCTGTGCTGACTACTGCAAGGAAGGCAGGGGTAGACTTCTGCTCTCAAAGCGCTGACAAAGCAACGGAGGAAGCAACACTAGCCAAGGTGAAGAGTCAACCACCAAAGAGTATTTGGCTTTAAAGTGGTTCAGAGCAGGGACGATCACAGGTGGCAGGGACAGGCAGGGAAGGCAACGTTACAGGGAAGGGAAGATTCTACTGGGCCCTGCGGAATGGGAAGGGTTTCCAAGTAGAGAAGGGGTGAGAAGCCTGAGGTGTCCTCAACAGAAATGCTAGAAAAGGAATAGTGAGAGGTGAGAGGGGAGGTGGAGCCAGATAATGAAAGTGGAGAAACCAGAGAGTGGAGTTTAGGTTAGTATTCTGGGTGCTATGGAGGCACTAACAGTTTTTGAGCAAATAAGTAACATCCTGAAAGATAAATTAAAGGATGATTGGTGTGGTGGTGCTGTATAGAATGAAGGGAGGGTTAGAGAGTGGAAAACCTGGTATTGGAAAGACTACTTAGGAACCTGCAGAACTGCTTGGGATGGAAGATAGTAAAGAGTAAGACCAGGATTCTGGGATGAAAGGACAGGCTGTAAAATGGGAGTGTAATCTGAGTCCTCTCACTCTCCATGTGCTTTCATTTGGTCACAGCTGTTTCCATATGACTCGAACATTGCATGGTAAATTGTAAAAACAATCTTTCCTTCTCTGTATCCATGCTCCTTGCAATGTAATTCTGCAGCTCTCTTCACCAAGAGGTAGAATCCGTATCCATAACCTTTTTTTTTTTCAAATGTATCTTTATTGATTTCAGAGAGGAAGACAGAGAGAGAGAGAGATAAACATCAACAATGAGAGAGCTGTCACTGATTGGCTGCATCGTGCATGACGCCCCCCACGGGGGACTGAGCCCGCAACCTGGGCATGTGCCCTGACTGGGAATCAAACCTCGATCTCCTGGATCCTAGGTCGATGCTCAACTGCTGAGCCATGCCCGGCCAGGCTATATCTGTAACCTCTTGAATCTAGGCTAGCCACATAGCTTCCTTTAGTCAACAGAATGTGATAGAAGCAATGATGTTCTGACAGTGACAGTTCTGAGCCTTGGCCTCATGGCACTTCTGTTCGCTCTCATAACCCTGCCCAACCCTCATGTGAACAAGTCAGGGGAGCCTGCAGAACAGTGAGACACATCTTAGTCATTGTCATCCCTCCAGCCAAGAGCCAGGTGACCTCCAGAAACAAAGCCTAGCTGACCTGGCGTGGAGCTGACTGCAGATACATCAATGGCCCCACCTGAAACCAGAAGAATCACACAGCTCAGCCCAGCCAAAATTGCCAACCCACAGAACTGTGGGATGAAGAAATGATTGTCATTTTTAGTCAGTCAATTTTAGCTCAAATTTCTGTATATATATTTGGGAATGACTTGTTACTCAGCAAAAGCTATCTGTTACACACTGCAAATAACAGTATTGCCACAATAGCAGGGAGTGATGTCACATGAAAGCTCCAGAAGCTTGCTCACTTAAAAATTATATTACTTTCCTAGCTCTAATGGCAGTTTTCTACCCCTGCAGAACTGCTATCTCACAACAATCACATTCAAGTTCAAAGATAGATGAGAGAAAAAATAGAGCAATAAGAAAGCTAATATGTTATAGCTGTGAGCCAATTTTCATTACAACACACTGCAAGGGACTGTCTGCATTCCTTGGCTGAAGTGAACCTGTTGTTGTGGATACTGCCTGAGACAAGCAGACCATCAACAGGGGCCTGGAAATAGTTTCATTACAAAACATAAACACAAAAACAAAAAAAACACCCCACCTTTTTATTTTAATAGTATTTGGCATATAACCACAGGTCTGTTCCCTGACATTGTTCTTAGCCAAAGAACATGGATTGATCTTTTCCTTTTTTTTTTTTTTTTTTTAAGGCATGGAAACATCTTAAGTCATTTCAGAGCGAGAAAAAAAGTGTGAATAAATAGATATCTAATCATAGTACTGGTAGAGATGCGTCTAACTTAGAAGCGTGAATATCATTTCAAAAATAATGTCAGTCACTTTGTTTTAAAAATGAAAAAGAACTTACCAGGAAGACTGTGTGTGGGCCCACCGTTTTCAGGTTTCAAGTGGGGGAATGAATCTGAAATAGAGTCAAACAAAACACCCCATAAGTAAATCACATTTGGAAAGGGTGTGCTTTCAATCCCAAGTGACTGACACAATGTTGAGTGTTATTCTTTTAAAGATTAGCAAAGCTTTTTCTGGCTGGCTCCTGATGGAATAGGGAGAGTTTTTCGCCCACATATTTCAACTTCCTGAATAGAGAGCATTCTCTCATCTACTTCAGGGAGTGCTGAAAGGCTGAGCCTAGTATAACTATAAATGGTAGTGTTTTCGTCCAAACCCCTCCAAGTCAGCGGAAGCCTCCCTAGTTGCTGCTCTTGCCTTAGTCCCTCAACCCCCCTTCTGCCAGGACCACGCCATGGCTCCCTTTACAGAACCAATTAAAAAACAGCCGGTCCAGTATAACTTGACTGGCAATGGGAGGGGTGTGGAAGGCTTTCCAATAGTGGCCGCCTTATCACAACCACAAAATTTTGTTTTATTGACAATGGTGAGCCTAAGGCAGTGTTTTTCAATAGAAATATAACACAAGCCACATATATAACTGTATACTTTCTAGTAGCCACATTAAACAGGCAAAGGATACAGACAAAATTAATTTTAATAATACATTTCATTTAACCTATTAAAATACTGTTATTTCATTGTGAGCAATATAAAAATTATTAATGAGACATTTTACTTTTCCATACTAAATCTTCAAGACCCAGTACATCTCAACTCAAGCTGGTCACATTTCAAGTACTCAACAGTCACAGTGGCCAGTGACTACCCCACCAGACAGTACAGATACAGAGAATCTATTCTTGGCCCTCAGGTACTAGGCAAGGCTCCAAAGTGAGTTGAATGCATATGGAGATTTTATTCATCTATTTTCCTGCTCCTAGTAATCTATCATTACCTCATTCATGACGTCATCTTAGTAGAAATAATAATATAATAACAGCAAATACTTATATAGCACTTACTATGTGCCAGGAACTGTTCCCAGCATGTTCCTATGTTACCTCAATTAATCCTCACAATAACTTCACGAGGGAAGCATATTATATTATTTCCACTCTGTAATGAGGAAATTGAGGCACAGAGAGGTTAAGTAACTTACTCAAGGTTACAAGACAGTGACAGAGCTGGGATTCTAATCCACAGAGCCTGCCCCCTGAGCCCATGTCCTTAGCCACTGTATTCTCAATTAAACTTGAACAGCTCAATATAAGATAATTGCTTTCAGTTTTAATTATAACCTCTAAGTGATCCAAGGCTGCTCCCCTGATACATGGTCAGGTAATAGCAGTGACGGCGGAGAGGAGTGGATGTGCTAGCAAGTTAACTTAAAAACAATTTGGGGTAAGAGCACAAGAACCACAAGCCTGGGGTCAAAAGATGGCACTTGGTCTGGGAGCCTGTTTAGATGACCAAAGTGGGATGCAGGGGGAGGTCAATGTGGGGGTGTCTGGAAAATTTTGTCTTCATGATTTTTCTGAGAGAAGGATCTATCACTTTCATCCACTTCTCAAAGGCCAGCGTGGCTCAGCAGTTGAACATCAACCTAGGATGCAGGAGATCATGGTTTGATTCCCGGTCAGGACACATGCCAGAGTTGTGGGCTCGATCCTCAGTAAGGGGGGTGCAGGAGGCAGCTGATCAAAGACTCTCTCATCATTGATGTTTCTATCTCTCTTTCCCTCTCCCTTCCTCTACTCTGAAACCAATAAAAACATATATATTTTTTAAAAGGGATCTGTAAAACAGCCATCTCAGCAGGGGTAGGGAGTAAGAGAGGAAGACCTGGGTAAAAAGGAATCAAGGAAACACATCCTTTTCACTTCATTAATCTGTGGTCCCCAAAGAAATCACACCTAGTGAGAAAAATCAGATACACAAATGTGAACTCACTATCCAAATTATAGGGAAGGAGGTTTTTTAGTGACGCTTAGAATCAACAGGCCACAGGCCAAGGCCAATGAGGGATGCAGCTGCCCAGTCTCGCACGCTGAGCCCTGAACCTGCTGAAAGTTCTGCAGTGCTTCTTCCACGTTTTAGGATCAAGTCGAAGTTCCTTAGCCCAGTCTCCAAAGCCCCTGCGATCTCATGCCTGGTTCCCTTCTTGTGTCCTCTCCTCCCCTAGGCATCCTGTCCTTGATCCACACAGACCTAGTTATAGGCCCCTAAACGCCCCATACTCTCACTCCTCTCCACCTTTGCAGATTCTGTTCTTTTGTCAAACGTCTCCTTTCCCGATAATATCAGCCTATCTTCAAATCTCCGTTCAAAACTCATCTCCTCTGGGAAGCCTTTGAGAACTCCCTCAGCTGGCTGAGAGGCATCTTCTCTTCATTCCATTCAATCAATAATTATGCACTGCTACTACTGATAATGACAAGGGCTTGTTTTTATGGAGCTATGTCCCAGGCACTATTGCAAGTGCTTTGTGTGCTTTAATCCACTTAGTAACCATATGAGGTAGGTTCTTTTATTACCCCATTTAACAGGGGAGCAAACTGAGGCACAGAGGTTAAGTCAGCAGACTAAGGTCATATGGCTTATAAGTCACAGAGCCAGACTGTGAACCCAAACAATCTGGTTCCAGAGCCTGCACTCCTAACAGTCGCACCATACCTGCCTCCCACTGCCTTCTACTCTCATGGTCATTGTACTTCCCTCTGTTACTGCAAGTGGCTTCAGTGTTTTCGGTTTTTGTTTACTGGTCTCTTCCCACTTGTTTGCACAATCTGAAAGTCAAAAATATGTCTAACTCATCTTTGTCTTTCCAGGACCTAGCAAGGTGTTTGGTTCACAGTAGTTGCTCAAGAAAGGCACACACAGGAAAACACTGGAACAGCACTGGAAGGATGGGACAGGGCTATAAACTCGTGCCTAATAAAAATCCACTGGGATAAGGAGCCTCTGAATGTATAGTTTAACAAAGCAAGCTTTAACTTCATCTTCTAAACTGAGCCATTGCCAAGGGGATGGGTCATTTCCCAGGTCTGTTCAGTAGAGAGGAAATAAACGCAACTCGGAGCTTGGCCAACTTGATCACATCTCTAACTAGTTCATCAGCTTCATTTAACTTTGCACATGGATCAATGGATCTAAGTAATAACATGCCTTCTGAAAGGTGTGGCTGACCATTATAAAGGAATGCCAGAAAAGATATTTCCTTTAAAAAATGCAATAGTCAAGAAAAAAAGGACACAAAGTCCTGCTTCCTAAGGTTTTCTTGGTTTCAAATAACTCAATATGAGCATATTCCAAGTACTTTTTTTAAACAACAGTCTCATGTTGAAAATCTCCTTTTGCTGTCCAGACATGGCTTTGCCATTCACTACACTGGATGGAGTTCCGTAAAATGTTTCCTCCCATTACTATTTAAACTCCCCTTGGATGGATGAATATAAAAAGTGACCTTATAGGAGGACACTCTCCTCTTTCTCTAATAGTGGGAAAGACAAAAGTTCCAAGATCTGGGACATACACAGATCTCTAGGGAGAAAAAAAGCTCTTTCTAGCTCACGTCAGAGCTAGAAAGGACTGTGGACCAGCCTTCCCTCTCACAGATAGATGCAATTAGCCATAATGCCCACCCTTCCCAAGGCACCCAGAATGTAAAAGAAACTAAACTTCCCATGTAGTATATGGCNAATTAGCCATAATGCCCACCCTTCCCAAGGCACCCAGAATGTAAAAGAAATTATAAACTTCCCATGTAGTATATGGANTGCCCACCCTTCCCAAGGCACCCAGAATGTAAAAGAAACTAAACTTCCCATGTAGTATATGGCTGTCAGCATCATCTCAGCTATTAGCAACCAAGTTATAAACTGTATTTTGATTCTTGCTATCTTATCTCTTCCACAATAAATATTAACTTGTTATTGAGAGATTTAGAATACAAATTGTGTGCTGGGCAGAGTTGTAAGAGCTAGAAAGACAGCAGTGAAGGAGGTAAACAAGGTTCCTGACATAGGGGGTCTCTCATTTTAATGGGAGGTAGAAAATAATTATACAAAGAGAGCTTCAAAGTTCTTTAAAAGTTCCATATAAGCAGGGGGTGATGGGAACTACCGAAGTGTTTAATAGAGTCTCTGGTAGCTGTATGGAGGAGTCTGGAAGAGGCAATAGCAATGAATAGATCAATGGTGACCAATTATGAGGCCATTCAATTGTTCGGGTAAGATAAGATGATACCTTGGGTCTCCAGGAGTCATGGAGAGAAGTGGATGGATTCAGTATAAGTTCTGAAGGTAAAACAATCAGGACCTACAGATAAAGTAGATGTGGGAGATGAGGAGGAAGGGGTCGAGATGACACTTAGTTTTTGGCTCAAGCAACTGGGTCAGTGATGGCTTTGTCTGGGGAGAAACAGGATGAGAGAGGAAAGAAAATCGAGAATTCTGATTTAACCTTGTTAACTTTGAGACATCCAAGTAGAAATGTCAAGAAAGTATTAAAAAGTGTTGAACTGTGCTGTCCAATACAGTAACCATTAGCACATATGGTAATTTAAATTTAAATTAAGTATAATTAAAAACTCACTCCCCAGTTACATGAGCCACATTTCAAGTGATCAGATAGACACAGAGGCGACCACTTGATTGAACAGCACGGGATAGAGCATTTCCATCACTGTAGTCTATTGGGCAGGACTTGTCTAGAGCACACACGATAATTTGCTAGACTCCTTTCATTACTATAAAGTTTATTGCAATTATAAAATACAATATTACAGTAGTTTGTCATCTGCAGGGGATATGTTCCAAGACTTCCAGTGGATGCCTGAAATTGTGTACAGTACTGAACTTACATATACTATGNGGGGATATGTTCCAAGACTTCCAGTGGATGCCTGAAATTGTGTACAGTACCGAACTCTACATATACTATGTTTTTTTCCTATACATATACATGCATATGACAAAGTTTAATTTATAAATATGGCACAGTAAGAGACTGACAACAACTAATAATAAAATAGAACAGTTATATTATAATAAAAGTTATGTGGAGGTGGCTTCT